TGCTGGCCAGCACCGCGGGGCCGGCACTGTGGGAGCCGGGCACGCGGTGCCTGATGGCAGCTATAAGGGACGCCGCACGCCCCTTACAGCTGCCATCTGGTGCCCCCCATTGGTTGGCGCCCCGGGCAGCTGCCCGGCTCACCCACCCCTCAGTCCAGCCCTGTTCGATCAGCATGTCAGGCTCAGCATGTCAGGCTCAGCACACCAGCCATCTAACTTTTGTCAAGTTTTTCCAGGCCAGATCCTTAGCTAGTATAAAATGATGTAGCTTTATTTTATATCAACTGAGAATTGGGACTCCGGTATTTAATTCTCATAGGATACAAGTAAATATGAATGAAAATAATTTCTCTATATATTTTTAGAAGGACAGGTGTGTGTCTGAGCCACTAAAATATCAGTGACTCATCTACACGGTGTTCTGTGGTGTAAGTACTATGGGCTGTTTTATTCTGTTGTTAGGTATGTCTTTTATCTACTGGAGGATGGAATTTATAGGGCATGCCTCCCAGTCTATCCTGGACAGGTCCCTGAAGCTTTGCCAATTGTGAGAATCAGTGCTCTGAAAGACTTTGTGATAAACTCTCAGTCCAAAAGGCTAATTTACTTCAACAAAACTGATCAATCCTTTGTGTCCAGCTTTCTGGATGGTTCTGAATTTAACATACTGCGACCTCAAGTTTCATTTAAAGACATAGAGAGCTTTATTTATGAGAACAAAACATTCATTGTCACGGATGGCAGGGCAGTTTTCCGTGAGGAGCTGTCTCCAGCTGGAATCAAAGCCTTTAATGAATTTATGGTGGATTGTGATTTTACCCATGTCGATTATTTTGGATACAACAATTTGCTTTCTTACGGAGCAGCAACCCAGCCTTATCCTTTGCCAGCTCATCCTCAGCTGGTCACGGTGCTGTTTGGATCAGACCATGCTGTGATCTGCTGGAGACCACCTGAACTTACCATTGGAACCAGTAAGTCCAGCTGCTCCATCCTATTGGTCCAGTCCATGTTCCATTGTACTGAATGGAAAGCGTTTCCTGATCTTTTGTTCCCTCATGCTGGTGTGAATCAGAAATAACTCTACTGAAATTGATGGAGTTACCTCAGTATGAAACAGGAGTGGGAGAAAAACAGGCCCAATAATCCACGATAAAGCTTACAAAATTTTAAGCGAAGATTTCCGGGTAAAATAAGGAATGCACCTTGCCAAATTAATGGAGACTTAGTTGAGTGAGTCAGTATTTCTATCTAGCAGGGTTTCAAATAGGCTGCACCTTACATCATGGGGTGTGATGATGGCAGTGTTGACTAGCAGTGCTATCACACCTCCACGGACAGTCACGCAATGCAGGTATGGCTGGGGAAGATAGTCATCAGTTCTGCCATTCATGCAAGTGTGTCTGAACTGGCCACTCTGTGTAACCTCCTCCCCCAGGGAGTGAGCCTCAGAGACAATCTCCCACCTCCGGAGTGAGGGCTGCGGGCACCAGGCCAGAAGTACGTCTGGGGCTGTGTGAGCTGTCTGTCTCTCCCAGTTAGGTTGTTCAGAAGGGCAGGCTTGATGGTGTGCTGCCATGGCACAAGGGACTCACGCAGCACTAGTTTAAATATTCACCCCTGCTGATATCACTAGGAAATCTCTACATTTGGATATTGGGAGCTTTGCAATGCGTCTCTAAAACTGCGCTTTCCCTGACTTCTGTTGTAGTAGTTTCTTGTCCAGCAATGTGATTATCTGCACCCTTCAGGTTCTTCTGCCTGGCAGAATTGGACTTACATTGTGAAGGTATCGGACCAGCATCAGGCCCGTGAGGCTCTGGTTGTCTCTAACATCAGTGGCACTAGGTTTACAATGAAAGAGCTGGTCTTCTCCACTGCGTTCGAGGTGTCAGTGAGAGCTGTATCTCCTGCTGGGGAAGGACCATGGACAGAGCCTTTTAGGGGCACCACTTTAAAAGAAGGTAAGACTTATTCTTTCACCAAGCAGTAGGGAGGAACTTGTCCTGTGCATACTCTCCTCCTGTCGAGGCCTAGACCCGAGGAACATCACAGGCTCAATCCTCTACTGTGCCTACTCTCCACATAGTACTACCTTTGAGTGACATGAGCATCTGGGACCTCATTTAAAGTGCATTGGGACCAGTGCAAAGGGTGGCACGTTGGGACTAGTAGCAGGTGGCTTAGCATGGGTGCAGTTGGAAACAGCTGAGTATCCCTGTCACCATGTAACAAAGGGGAGGGGTGGCTTACTGGGGAAATGCCAAAGGCCCTCAGAAAGCATATGTATGATGGCTGTAACCTGTACACTGTTGAAATATTTATTTAAATGTACTTAGAATAATACATATGGAGAGGGTAGGAGAGGCTTATAGTTAAGGCACTGGAGTGAGACCCAGGAAATATGGAATCAGTTCTTGGCTCCACCAAGTATTTTGGGCTTTGCGTGAGGCACTTAATCTCTCTGTGTCTCCATTGCCTTTCTAAAAATGGGTGGCACATACTTCTTTTTTCACAGCCTGTGTCTCTCTTGCATATTTAGATTTACTGTTCCTAGGGGCAGAGCCTGGTTCTTATTATGTGTTTGTACAGCCCTTAGCACAATGGGTCTCTGATCCTGACTGCTGGCACACCAATAATGCAGTGCTGATTATTTATAGGGTACTGCCTAGTTTCAACTTGTTCATTGTTTGTCAGTTGAAGAAGAACCTTATATCTTGGCTGTGGGAGATGGCGGACTTTGGAAGCAGCCATTGGATAATTTTGGGCCAGGAGTATTCCTCTCTCCTGATATAAGGAATGCCTCAGGTAAATACTGTTCAGGTTGGGTTCCTATAGTAGGCCTGTCCGCACTGATCAGAGTAACCCAAAGTGGATGAAAGGAACCGAAAGATGAGAACATTCATCATATCTTACAAGAGCTGAATGTGCAGTGAAACAGCTTGAGCTGAGCTGAGTCTTGAGACAGATACGCCTTGCATTCCCTGGGCCAAATTTATCCCTGGTGAAATGCTTTTACACTAGGGATGAGTTAAGTTCCCTGGTTCAGTTTCTGCCAATCTCTCTACATCTGTGTAACCTCAGTGTTTCAAAGTAATGCAGTGCTACAAGTTGGACCTTCCTTGTCCGGCACTCTTGAGATATGACTGGTCCCAGATGAGGGATTTGGCCAGACCAGGGAAGGTCTTCCTATCTCCCACTGACATCCCTGCCAGCCCTGGCTTTACTACTGACCGTAGGCTGGCTTCCCCTTTGCTGCCGGCCCCCACTGCTGCATGCTATGCACCCTGCCTCTCAGGACTGCTGGCCACCAGCCCTTCACCTAGACTCTTTCGTCCTGCAACATCTGTATTGGATCATGGAAGTTGTTGGACCAGAGAGTCCTGGGTAGTAGAAGTTCAACCTGCATTGTAATCAATGGGGTTACTCTAATGTGAATGAGGTTGGTGTAATAAGGTAATTGCTCTACGTAAGAGAGATCATGATGACTATCTCGCACTCAGCTGAGTTTTAGAGCTGTATCATCCTTTGCAAATTGTTCCTGCTCTTTTAGCAAATTTGACCTGTTTCAGCCTTAAGGTAGTTACGGGGTTATGTGGAGAATAGCAACTTCATGACATGGAGCATAGATATAAGCAGCAGTGTAGACAGTGGGGTACTGCTTGAGGGAGTAAAGATACAGTTGAGCCCCAGGATATATACCTTACACTGCTCTCTGAATGTCCAAGCAGTGCCTCCCCAGCTACACTGCTACTTTTAGCAGTGTCATGTCCTCCTGTCTTCCCCACTCTCAACA